TGGATTGCATTAAGAAGACAAAGGGCTCCAGGAGAAATGGTGAAGCAAATTTAAAAAAAGTGTTTTATTTATGTGTCAATTCCTAGAAAAACAAAAACTGGTCAAGACAGGAAATGATATAGTAACTCCACCCAATTCAGCAGTGAATATTCATAATACTGTAAACATTGACTACTGACCGAACAAACACCTCTGATAACTATGTTGAGGAGGGAGAGGCAGTGTGGGGGTATGTATGGGTGTGTGTGTGTGTGTGTGTGTGTGTGTGTGTGTTTTGGTGAGGTGGACATGCACAGAGCAGCAAGAAATAGTACCTTGCTTCAAGCAAAATGAATAATGACTAAAACTGCTATATTAAGGAAGAATAAATAGGGGCTGGAGGAGAGGCCACTGATACAGCATTCACCTATCCTGCTCAAGTACTAAATTCAATCCCCCAGTACTGACAAAAAGAAATTGTAATGAAAGAAAGGTATTTATAAATAAGAACGCAAACAATAGGAAATAGCTAAGAGAAAAGGGTAGTGACAAGAGTAAATGCTAAAATGGGACGATGCAGCCAGGGAGATAGCTCAGCAGCATAAGCGCCTGCCCAACAAATACAAGGTCCTGAACACATCATGGAATTTCAAAGGTACCAGTATCAACATAAAAACAAAATCATAAAATGGGACATCTTTTCAAATATTATTTTAACTTAAAAATTGTACTTTTTAAGTGGTGATAGGAAACATGAATATTTCAGCTGTTAATAGACTAGATATTTACATCATTTCAAGTTGCTAAACAAAATAGTTTGTCCTAATGGTGAGAGTGAACTGTGAATAAAACCAAGCTTTAATGATTGACATGAATAGTATTCAAATAGCCCTATATCTGAATCCCAGCTCCACCACTTAACTCTGAGGCAGGGTAGGTTACCTAATCTATGGTTAGGTATAAGCAGGCACCTCCTCAAAGTGATTTTGCAAGGATAATAAAGTACAAGTATCTGAAATATAGCTTGACTCAGACCAGCTATGGTGGCCCAGGCTTGAAATCCTAACACTCTAGGGGAGAAACACTTAGTTTAACATCAGCCTGGGTTACATAGTGAGTTCAAGGCCAACCTAGACTATTTAAGTGAGACCCTATGGGAATATATTTATCTGAGTGAGTGCCTGTCTGACTGTCTGGCTGTCATCTATCTGTCTTAAACCATTAATAGATTTTAGTACTTTTTCTAAGCCTATCAGTTCCCAAGCTACAAACTCTCATTCTAACCTCTTTGTTTTACTGGTCACAGAGCACAGAGAAACGAGGACAGCTCAGCACATATCCCTCTTCATGCTGGAAAATCAATCATGATGAGTAAGCACTTATCTTTGTATATGAAGGACAGTATTATTCTTGTTATATGAAGGAGATTACCCCCATTATCCACATTTTGGATTGGTGCCTACTCTCAAGAACTGTCCCAATTAATCTACAACACGAGGACAACATCAATTTTTTCACTTAAAACTACTTTACAGCATTGTTAACATCTTTAAAAACAAAACCAAACTCTAGATTCATCAGTTTGTACCTCTGTTCTTTCAATGTACCACCTCAAAATTTTCCATTTGCAGAACCCATGTGTGTAAACACACACACACACACACACACACACACACACACACAAATTGGCCTGGCCTGGGGCCACCTCCTAGTTAGTGTAGCAAGGGAGAAAGAATCAACCCAAGTCAGCTAATGATATTGTTTACCATTTCCAATGTATTACAGCTAAATTCATAATTCCTACAATGTACAAAGCTATCTTAAAATAAAAAGTCATTAGGATTGTCTTTATCTAATACTAGTAAGTCATCTTTATTTGACTATCTTTACCCACAGGCAGTGACTCAAAAGACCAGGGTGTTTAAATGTTAAGTGTTCTTATAGTAAGACACACTGCCATTAATCCCTCCAACCAACTACCCTCAGTTCAACCATACATTCCATTGTTCTTGCCACTTTCTGAAGCTGTTCTGCAAATCCTTTTTCATCCTTAGTTGTACTACTGTGGGTGCCCTGATGTCCTGAATCGATCAAAATGTTACCCTTCATGGTTATTTTGATGTTAAGAAAAAGCCAGAAGCCACACAGTTGGCCAGATCTGGTGAATAAGGGGGATGAGGACAGTTTTTATGAGCCTCTCTTTGCAGCTCTCACAATATTTTTTAATCACACCTCCTAAAGCCTCACACAAAAGAAGAATTCCAGAATTATTTAAGAATAAGATGGGTAACCAGGCATGGTGGCTCATACCTATAATCCCAGGACTCAGGAAGCTGAAGCAGGAGGATCACTGTGAGTTTGAGTCCAGCCTGGGCTAGAGTGAGCTCTAGGCCAGTCTGAATTGCACAGCAAGACCCTGTCTCAAAAAACAAAGAAAAGAAAAAAAAAAAAAAAAAAATGAGGCTGATATACTGTATCCTCAGCATTCAGAAGCTGAGGCAGGAGGAACACTGAAAGTTCAAGACCAGCATGGGCTACAAAGTGAGTTCAAGACCAGTTAGGTCTACAAAGCAATACCCTGCTCAAAAATCAAAAAACAAACCAAAACAACAAAAAATTGTTTTAAGAATGATAGGACTGGGCTGGGGAGATAGCTCAGCGGCACAAAGTCCTGAGTTCAGTTACCAGTACAGCATGCCTTCAGGCCCCAAAACTCTGGGTACGCTTTGTGGGCCCTAAAACTGGGCATGGCGACATATGCCTATAATCCCAGCGCTGGGGAGGCTGAGAAAGGAGGATTACTAACAGTCCCTACTTCATAGGTAGGCTCTGTACCCAACTTAAAAAAAAAAAAAAAAAAAAGGATAGTATTAGTGCATTTAAAGCAAGGGGAGGGTTATGAAGGGGAATATTTGGTAATGTGTGTTTTACTATAATAAACTTAAACATTCATTTTTTCAATTATCCATGTACTTCTAATTCAACAATCCCTGTAAATGGATATAAAAAGAGCAAGATACAATTATTTCAAACGTATGGGAAACAATATAAGAACAAAGTAATTGTCAGCAATAGTTTATTGTTTTTGTTGCTCTTGTTCTGTTTGTCTTTATGGTGGTGGGGACAAAAGTGGGGACCTCAACCACACCAGACTCCACCACTGAGCTATACTCCCCTGCCCTATTTTAGGGTTTTGTAATTGTATGTTTTGTTTCCATAGGACTGTACATCTTAAAGGCTTATGTTGTCTGCTTCCATGTGAACTTCTTTTGCTATTTTTCGTTTTTGTTCAATTATAATGACTAATAAAACATCATGCAGTCAATATTTATATTGTTAGACTCTTAATTATGACATCTCTAGTTGCAGGCAAACGATCACTCAGTAAACATTTGCTGGATCACTGGATTAAGAATAAGACATAGCAAGGCGTGGCAGCACACACCTGTATTCTCAACACTCTGGGAGGCTGGGTCAGGGATATCACAAATTCTAGCCCAACCTAAGCAATGTAACATTTTAGGGAGACTCATCTCAAAATTTAAAAAAAAAAAGGCTCCGTGCAAAGGCCCTGCGTTTAATCCCCAGAATTGAGAAACTAAAAATCACAACAAAGAAATACAAAATAAGAGAAATAATTGTTAAAATGACAATAACTTTGAATTGCAATGAATGACCTTATATGTTAAATTACTTCTTTCCATACTTTCGTGTAACATCTACTTCAAAGTTAAGTATTAAAAGTTTTAATATATGTAAATATTTAGCACATTACCTGGAAAGGTGCTCAGTAAATGTTAATTTTGTACCCCCCTTCATGTCCTCCACCTTAAAAATCACGTATACTCATAAAACAGTACCTTCCACAAATAACCCATTTCAGTTAAAAAACAAGAGATCTTCATTTTCTTCTGAAATATTAAAACTTTAATCCCTTCATTCTTTAAATGGAAACAATAAGTTGTGGATTATTTACAAAATATTACAAAATGCCAGATCAAATTAAGGGGACAGTGTCAAAAATATGCCATAGCTAGGCAGGATGGATCAGGTCTGCAATCCCAGCACTCCGGAAGCTGAGGCTGAAAGAGCTCGAGTTCTACATCAGTCTGGCTCACAGAGGTGGACCCTTCCTTAAATAAAGCAACAAGACGAAAATGTTAGCTTCTCTACCACTAATAGACATTTTTAAGAAGTGTTTAAGCGTCAAAGGATGAAAGTTAGTAATATTGTTAAACTGTATCTTTTCCAAGTGTTTATTGTTACTGTCCACCAAACCTGAGTTTAGGACTTAAAAATCAATCATAAACCTCTTCACTGAAAGCGGAACGCGAAACACTTCCATTCAACCCTAAGACATTCTTTCATGACGACGACTCTGACTTCACAGTCATCCTAGAGTTTTCTCCTCCCACATTGGCCTTAATCGAATTCCTCGCTGTTTCCTCCGCATCGCGGTTCACTCGCTGCGTGCGGACCAAGTTCTGTCATTCCTATAATTACCACACCCCCGTCAGCCGGCCGATCCGGAGGTTGTGACATCTGTAAACTGCAGCCGTCCATCTCCACCTCCCCCACCCCTCCAGGCGCCGGCTCCGGCCCCGTGTGTAACTTGCGCGACCCGACACGGTCCCTCCCCGCCGGTTTAGGGATTCCACGGCCCCCCCCCCGGCCCTCCCCAGCCTCCGACGCGGCCCTCGGCGCGGCCACCCCC